TATATATATATATATATATATTTGTGTTTTAAGATGAATTCTTACCATTTGACAGTGCAATGCCGACAAATTTCGCTTTCAGTTGAATAAATGTCACAGACGTTAAACGATGCAGAGGCAAAGGAAACAAACACTACTTCGAATAAGGAAAGCTTTCCTGTTTACCGTGGAGGCAGAAGAACTCGCACAGCAGAGCGTTTAGAACAGCAATGGTCTTTGAAATACATCCCAATTCAATCTTGAGCAACATCCTCATTCGCAAAGTGAAGGTTATGGCTACAATGGAGAACCTTTTGTTCCCGCAACATCCTCATTCGCAAAGTGAAGGTTATGGCTACAATGGAGAACCTTTTGTTCCCGCAACATCCTCATTCGCAAAGTGAATGTTATGGCTACAATGGAGAACCTTTTGTTCCCGCAACATCCTCATTCGCAAAGTGAAGGTTATGGCTACAATGGAGAACCTTTTGTTCCCACAAGCCATTTCGATGAAACTGCGCTTTTCACCTTGTATCGCTAAGGAGATAACAAACAATAATTTAAAGTTGACGAAGACTCACAAACCAAATGTTTACAATCTTTCAACCATTCAACCACAACTTTCAAATCAACGACTGTTTTCGGAAGAAAGTCGGCCAAAAAAAATAAAAAAAAATAAACCGGAAATCTTGTCTCGATCCAGCTTCAAACACTATCTTGGAAATCGACATGGACTTAGAATGTAGAATTATACAAAGATTTTTCACAACATTAAAATACTTTTCTTTTACTTGTGAGCGTTTGACCCTCTTGCCGGACCTAGAATATCGTTTTTATAAAATACGAATAATCCCAGTAAGTAAAATGTTCATTCTTTTATATCTGTGGATGTACTGTTTTACCTGACTCCATACACTCAAATATTATATTATCTCTATATATCTCATGTCGTTTTCATATTTCCCGTCGAATGTGAATTTGTAAAAAATATTGTTCCTGGCACAGTTTTTGCTCTCCTGACTTTCGGGTCACGTGACAGCAATTGTTGCAAATTTCAATGTACCACAGAGTGTTTATATTTATTTATAATAAATGCTTTAACTATTAATTGTCTGTATAAGTGCCTTTTATTCTTTAACATTACACATACACACACACACACACACACACATATATATATATATATATATATGTTTATTTATACAGGAATGTCAACATGAATTTATGTAAATGAATATTACTTTTGAACTTCGAAACACTGCCTGCACAGTCGAAAATAAAATGTAAAGAAAAGAAATATTGAGAAACAGTATTTGTAAAATATGATTTATGCATATATTCGATACAATTTAAAGGGTGCGATTACAACAGCCGCACCCTTCCTGCCTAAGAGCATGATGTATAAGTGTTTCTATTTCAATGATAAAATACAGTTTATGCGCATGTTATTAAGGCTACACATATAATTATATTATTTACTTATTCAAATTCCGGGCAATATACTAAAGATAATGCTCAACAGGTGCATAACTTCTGTTACCCTAGAAGTATTATTTCTGCTTATAATTATTGGGATACTCGGTAAACCTTCCCCAGAAACAGAGTAACAAAGAAAGTCACTATTCAAACACGTAGCAACTCGGTGTAAATAATAACACAAACTAAAAATGGATTTTCATTGTAGCACTCTATCTTTGCTTACCTACAATATTGTTTCCCAGAAACCAACAACATAAAAGTAATACTTTATCTCGAAACACAAACATTTTTAGGTTTAGTGGTTCGACTATTTGTTGTGATGTTCAACGATGAAAACTGATGAAGCAGTGGATGAAAATAACAATAGTCTGAAGATTACTTGCGTCATCTTAATTTATCGATTAGAGATTTTAAGTTTGAGATGTGTGACGAACTATGCATGGATCTAAAATGCTACTTTTTAACACATGTTGGATTTAAAATGTGTAATGGACTAATTATAGAAATGGTGTATACATATGCAGTCTAAAGTGAATTTCATTACACTGGTTTACTCACAGATCTTTGTTAAAGATACGGTGGGACGGGGGTAAGTTTACTTACTTGCAACGCTAAAATCCGGGGGACTGTGACCTCTCCCGTGAGTTCTCCGGTGGGAAAGCGATAAGTTTACTGACTTGCAACGCTAAAATCCGGGGGACTGTGACCTCTCCCGTGAGTTCTCCGGTGGGAAAGCGGTAAGTTTACTGACTTGCAACGCTAAAATCCGGGGTCTGTGACCTCTCCCGTGAGCTCCCCGGTGAGAAAGCGGCAAGTTTACTGAGTTGCAACATTAAAATCCGTGGTTCGATTCCCTGCAGTGGACACGGTAGATAGCCCAATGTTGCTTTACATTAACACAACTATACGTGTCACGTGAACTTCGGGACGATTTGAGCAGTTGTGACAACAGCACCATATTATTAAAGCCGTACAAACAACATATCTGAATAGATTCCAAGTATCATAACTCGAAAACAGCGACTCTAATAGAAAGATGCTTCAAATAAAAGATGTAGAAGCTGAACAGTTTAATACGATTAACTTTGGTTTTTGTTTTTCTAGATGCAAAGTATACTTAAAATTGTTTCTGCCAAAATTTGCTACAGCGACCAAAGTTTAAACTGTTTGTTTTTGGTTTTGTATTTTTTGGCGGTAAGCTGTAAAATGCGTTAATTTATATCGCCCAACATGGGATCGAAGCCCGACTTTTCCTTTATAATCCTGAAGTTTACCACTGAGCTACAGGAAGTTCCAAAGTTGAATATAATACAGGGTTATTAAATATTTTCGTTTAGTTTGTTTCTGACAAAACATAATTACCATAATATTTGAAGACTAATGCATGCAAATAGTAGAAGAAAAAAAACTTTCTTTTTTATGAGTTTTAACTTTAAACTTAAGAGTCTCGTCATTTCCCTCCAAATTCTTCATTTCAACTGACATTAATTTAGAGACTCTAAAAGCAATGTTCAAGTTAATAGTCACTAATATGCTCTTTCCAGTATTCCAAGTCAAGAAATATTTACAAAATAACTAAGCATAGGTTTTAAAGGTTATTTTAAATGTACAATTGTAACTAGTAAAAACATTATTTTACGTGGGCGCGATTGACGGTAATTGTTTTTACATCTATATAACGTAGTCTTAATGTGTAAAATTATTTGCCCAATTATTTCTAATCATGATTCATTTCCTGATGTTAGAAGAGGATGAGTTTAGTGAATATACTTTTAATTCTAGTTTTCTGCTTTTGTTTCGCAAAAATCTAGAATTTTTCGGTTTGCGGATATGATTCGTAATGTAGGCCTAGTTCTATTCATCAGCTATAACGGCAGGCAATACATATATTGTCTGCATAAAATGAATAATCTAAACACGATTACTCATCAATACATCAGTTTTACATTTGGAACTTGTCACAACTAACATCGTTCTTCTGTTCAAACGTTCCTACTTAACGCTTTTACGTCGTTTGTTTGTTTTTGAACACCCCGACGGCTGAAAGGGCGAGCATGTTTGGTGGAAGGGGGATTCGAACCCGCGAACCTCAGATTGCGAGTCGAGCACCTTATCCACCTGGCCATGCCGGGGCCGTTTTTTACGTCGTTCTTCTGTTCAAAAATCCCTACTTTACGCTTTTACGTTGTTCTTCTATTTAAACATCTCTACGTAACGCTTTTACGTCGTTCTTCTGTTCAAACATCCATACGTACTGACATGGTTTCGAATATAAAAGTCATAGCAATATAATACACACGAATAACGAGTCACTAAAACGAATTTAGTTGTACCATGTTATGTATTAATAAAAATACTTCCTTGTGAGTCGTTCACCTGTGAATAAGAAATAAAGTTCTGAGTTAACCGTAAAGTGTCTGAATGTGCAAAATACGTTGTTCTGTAATGCAATCGGGTTATTCATGCGTCAAAACCAAGTGCTTTAAGTAACGTATAAGAAATTAATAACAAGTCGTTTGAAAACTGTTTTTTTTTAATATAAAATAAAAGGTATTTAAATACATTTTTCTAACTAGTACTCATGCATTCTTTATTTTTATTTCACTATAACGTAATATTTTATTTTATATCAGAAAAATATATACACACACATATATATATATATTTCAAATTTCCTTACCTTTTAGACCTAGGAATAGAAAGAAAGTAAGCCCCGTCAGATTTAAGAGGAAAAAACAGCTAGAAAATTTCATTATTTTATGATAGTTTCTAAACAGTCACCTATTTCTTGAATATTTAGTCTTATTAGGAAGTACGTGATCAAAAGGAAAACTCTATCTATTTACATTATACATTTAGACAACGACGCAAAACCGCCAGCTGAAAGAAAAACCTCATTCGTTAGGAAACAACACTTGTCAAGCGTCTGCTCTGCTGGTTTGTTCAACATTATCTGCGGCATGTGAACTAGCAAACGCTTTTCTCAATACAACTCATTCTCTGCTTTAGCATACATCAGCATTACGCCTTTCAACTATGCTTTAGCGACATCTGGTGTTAGTAGAGTTCATTATAAGAAGTAATGACTTAACTTGAAACGTGGAGTAAATAATCTGGTGTTGCACAACGTAAATGTTTCCATTGGAAACAATAAAACAAAAAAAGAGTTAATACCATTTTCTGAATTGCGTATTGTAAAAATTCTAAGGTTTAAATGTTTTTTTTTTTGGATGATGAACTTTGCTACCATTGCAAGTACATGAATGAAAACTGTTTGAATCACGAGCGGCTTCATACACTGAAGAATACAAGTTTCTTGTATTCATAAAATTGATAATATTTCTTCATACACGATGAATTCCTTCACATAGTTATCAGGTGCCAAAATCAACTTTTAAATGTCTCATTGAACACTTATAAAAGAAGAACAGTATATTTAATATTGTAATAGTAGCTAACAAAATTAGCTTTGTATTGTTTGCTTCTAGGACTTGTGGTTTCTTGGCACAAGCAAGATTTTCATCTGAAACATGAAACAATAGAAGTTTCTCAATGTCTTGAGGTTACTCATTAGATGTCTTGATAATAAAGCAGTTCTTTGGAACATTGTTACTGCGAGTAAAATTTCTGTGAGTTTTTGTTGTCATTTGATGTTTAAGCTTGTTTGTTTGTTTGAGAACAAAGTCACATTGGGCTATCTGCTGTATCCACCGTGAAGAATCTAACCCCTGATTTTAGTGTTGTAAGGCTATAAATTTACCCGTGTCCCACAGGGGGGGGGGGACTGCTATTGAAGCCAGTACAAGTTTATGTAAATAAAACATAGTGGGCGAATTATATTCTTTATAAATGAAGAATGATTATAATATTTGAATTGTTTATCTATTATAGAATCAGTTTACCAAAGTTGATAACTTGTTCTGTTTAAGGACCACATTATTTTTGTTTCATTTTAGAAATACCAGAAGAAATGAATGAATGATAAAACATGTCTGCAATTATGGTCAGTTTTGGTCAAGTGCTGGCTACCGAAACATCCGAGGTCGCTGGTTAAGAGCTGTGCAAGCATTCCGGAGTGAAAGCAGCAGGAGACACTCGGTAAGTGACCTGTTGGTTAAATATTCTGACGTATTTCTGGGACCAGATACCCGTCTGGGTCCAACCAAAATTATTTGCCTCTACATAGATATGGAGGATGTAAGTTCTATTAAAGACTTGAGCACTTGAGGTATACTCAGTGCCGATATATATAGCATTTGTTAAAAATGGAGTCATACAGTCTTCAGAGTGTGCATGGTTACCTCCATTAGTGAATTCCGAGTCATGCCATTCAGCGTGTGTAATGCTCCTGCCACTTTCTAGAGAGTAATAAAGATTACATTTAAGGGGCTGCGATTGGAGAGAGGTGCCTGGGATATTTAAATGACCAGTTGGTGTTTTATTGCATGCTCATGCCTTCTGATATGAATATTTTCTAGGTACTATATCAGATTAGGACAGCCAGTTTGAAGTAGAAGCCAGAAAAGTACGCACTCATGCACACGGAATTACAATTTTTTGACCACATTGTGAAATTAAACGGTATCTTGATGGACCCTCAGACCCTTCAACTATTGCAGAGCTGTCAGACTACCCTCAACCATTACATTTTCTGGGCATTGCTTCGTATTATTGATGATTTGTAGTAAATTTCTGAAAGATTGTTGAACCATTGTCTGAACTCATTAAAGTCAACAAATACATTTTAGTGGATTGAAGAATGTGAGCAAGCGTTCCTGTGTCCAAAGTATGCTTTAATGGAAACTCTCGTGCTAGTATATCCCAGACAGAATTGTGAGTTCTTTTGGATACAGACAACAATGGAATTAGACGCATTCTCTCACAGTTACAGGATGGTTTGTTTGTTTTGAATTTCGTGCAAAGCTACACGAGGGATATCTGTGCTAGCCGTCCCTAATTTAGCAGTGTAAGACTAAGGGGAAAGCAGATAGTCATCATCACCCACCGCCAACTCCTGTGCTACTCTTTTACCAACGAATAGTGGGATTAACCGTCACTATATAACGTTCTCACGGCTGAAAGGGCGAGCATGTTTGGTGTGACGGGGATTCGAACCCGCGACCCTCAGATTGCCCTAACCACCTGGCCATGCCGGGCCCTACACGATGGAGCAGAATGTGTAATAGAACCACCTTTTATCATTTTCTTTATGATAAAAAGTTCATCTTTTGAGTGAACTATGTATTGCTGAGGGTTATAAATTTTAAGAATCCAGGAGAGATTATAGAACATTGAATAATAATACTAATAATAATATAATAATGATAATAATAATAATGACATGATCATAAGACATAATCTGGGAACGAAACAAGGAACTGTCACGCCGCACAGCGAAATCCTGCCTATTCAGCGAATGTCCTTCTATGTACTGTGATCTGGAAGTTTTAACACTGAAATGTTTGGTAAGTAGCGGATTTAATGAGAGGGATAAGAGTAATTGTTAGAATCTTGCTGTGCTAACATGAAAACACGGCTAATCCTGCGTGTGTGTATGTGTGTTTTGTTATAGCAAAGCTACATTGGGTTATCTGCTGTGTCCACCGAGGGGAATTGAACTCCTGATTTTAGCGTTGTAAGCCCGAAGACTTACCGCTGTCCCACCGGGAGACCGCCTAAACCCGTTGTTTTACTTGCAATAGTCAGAAATATGTCAACTGGATGGAACTGAAATATTCATGAATGGGTGTAATTATCTGTACTTTGTGAAATTCACAAAAATATCTAGTAGCAGAGAATCATTGTAACCAGATTATTACAGCTTTAACCTACACTTTTGACCAAGTTTTCATAATAATATTTTACATTTACTGTTCCAACAAAGTAGTTTTGTGAGATCTATCGGATTAATATCCTCAGTTTGAAACGTAACTATTTCATGTTAGTGTATGTTATTACGGGAAGAATTACAAAACAAACGAAACAACAAACTAATGTGAACTATTTAGACACGTACATTTATTTTTGCATGTCTTTAAGCAGCTAAAAGTGTGTGTTAGTTAACTAATGATTTACCATACCATACGTTTTCACTAATATAGGAAAAGCAAATCCTCAATACGATTTTATGTGTTTTTTTATTCGACTGTAGGCTATCGTAAAAGAGCCCTACACGAAAGAAACATCAGGTTTGGTCATAAAACTTTTCTTCTTGGGGGCATGAAACCATTAGTAACGTTTTAGGAAATTATCAAAGTTATTTCTAAATGCACGAAAGAAACCTTGTATATATATATGTTATTCTTAAAACGTGCACGGGTACTAGAACATTAAATGTGAAACAAAGCTTCAGAATAAGAAAATGACATTACTGTCGCTCACAAACCGAAACCAAAACACGAAACAGTGCATAACGACGTAATAAAAAGGGCAGTATTTTGTTTTGTATTTGTTGGAAAAGTGCAACGAAGAAGGGCTGGAATAAAGATCTCGCTTTGCAAGAGGACAGGTGAAAATGTACTTGAATTACGTTTTACAAAGATTAAGCGAACACGTGCATAAGAATTATGGTGTTGCATTATGTTTATAACTTTGCAATTACTAGTCTTACTAAAATAAAATAAAACTATTATATGTGTAAGAATCATAGCATGTACTCCTCAATGTATATTCCTATAATAAATATTCAACAATTAATAAGATTAATGCTGGCACTGTTAACAAAACTTAACACGCATCTTAAAGTCTTACAGAAGTTGTAGCCATAATGTGCATTGAATCAGGGATATTCTCTTTAAAAAATGCACAGGACAGTCTTTCTATGAAGAGTAAACCATGGTTTATCATAACTATTGCTAATATGCTTATGCCCTAGAGTAAACCATGGTTTATCATAACTATTGCTAATATGCTTATGAATATGCTTATGTCATTAAACCATGGTTTATCATAACTATTGCTGGGCATAAAGCTCTTAGGCTTAGAGAATGCTTTATATGGTTTTTATATCTCCTGATGGTTACTTCCTTTAAAAACACTTAACTAACACATTTGAAGGAAGTTTAAATATAATTTTTGAAAATAAAATTGCTAAACAGATTTAGACATCTATGAAGATGTAACTTCGGCCTAGTGATTGTCCTTGTACGAGGTTTCAAGTGATTTTAGTAACTTAAGTCTAATCTAGATGGAAGATCGTCGTTAAAAGTTTTTTAAAGTGTCCTCGTCTACGGTTTTCATAATGTAGATATAGTATAAAAGTTACTTGAGCACATGAGATGCTAATCTTCAAACAACGATTTATGAAGTCGTAAACTTCACCGTTAGACAACGCAAAATCTTAAAATTGCGGTTTATGTGCAGTGTTATCCATTCAACGCAGTCTTATTTTCGTTATTGACACTTTATTCTTACGCCAGTCAAGAGTGCTGATTTTGAACTTAATGACTTATACCGGTTTTTTTTGTTTTTTCTTACTGACAACCACTACATATGGTGATGCAAATTTCACGCACCACTATGAGTTTTTAAAGTCATGCAAATACAGCTCTCAAGCTGTCCACCGTCGATATTACTATAAATCACGTTCTGTAAAATTTGCAGTGTTACAGCTGCACTTTTTTGGAGGGGAGGAGGGGTTGGCTATGTCTGCTAACCGTCCATAATTTAGAACTGATATATTATAGAAGGGAGATAGCTTAGGAATAGCACCAACAACAGCTCTAGGACTAATCAAATAGTCGAATTGCTGTGATTCTTTATTTCAAATCTTCCAGGTTATTTAGACACGTAATGCTTTTACATTGTTTGATATAGTTTCCTAAAAATGTTTAATGGAATAAGATTGTTTGTTTTAGAGCAGAACCATAATTGGCTGACTACTATGTCCACTACGGGGAATCGAACCCCAGATTTTAGTAATGTAGATATGTAAAATAACTTACTCTTAGAAAACGGATAGACAT